AGTAACAAACAAAACTAAGTAAATACATTTTTCTCATGACCCATTGAAACAGAACCGACAAAAATCTGCGTAAAATTTAGTCTAGATCGGATCTGAGATATCCAAGAAAACAAGTGTTGGCATCACTGTTGTACGGAATTAGCGTCTGAGTAACGGCGCCCGCGCATCGCAAATTGGGATTATCTGCCCATCTGTCATAGGAACGAAACGCGCGGTTCAAATGTTGAATTTAAGTTTGGTGGTAACCCAGCGTGGGAAGGCCACCTGTCTGATGGACGGACGATCTGTTTTGTGAGGATTTAAACTACCTACTTATAGTTAAAAAGCGATTTTACATTGTGTGTCTCATCTGACGGCCGAATCTATTACTTCTGAGTCAAGAGTACTGAGTCTGAGCATCTCTACGACTAATGATCCATATTTGAATCTTGTAATACACTGACCTATCGAGTAGGGTAAGTATTAGTGGCACAAGGAATTCGGTCGGATTTATACATCAATAAAATCATTTTGGCCAATCGGACGTCCTGTACAGTGGACGTCTGATGGATTCATTGGTAGAGCCCTATGTATATTGTAAACATACTAATGATTACCAGATTGACCGTTTGGTATCCGATTTAAGCTGGATGCCGGTCAGCATCCATATACATACTAAAATCTATGTTTTGCCGACCGGATTATACATACTAAAATCTATGTTTTGCCGACCGGATTTTACATACTTAAATCTATGATTTGTTTTGGTTGCTAAGTCAGGAACTAGGTACTTACTGGCCCGAATTGAAAAATTGTTTTTATGTTGAATAGCCCATTGTATCGAGGAAGGCTTTATTTAGGCTATCTATACTTATAATAAATCTGTAGATTAATTATGTACATGAAATATATTTTCAAAATTACTATCAGGGAGTGATTAGTAATCGATACTGATGCCAAAAATGCAATCAGTAAAATTTTTGTCTGTCTGTCTGTCTGTATGTTCCTTATAGAAGCAAAAACTACTAGACGGATTTTAACGAAACTTGGTACAATTATTCTTCATACTCCTGGGCAGGTTATAGTATACTTAGGAGTATCCCACGGGAACGGGAATTAACGGGAAAATCCTTTTGTATGAAAAATCTAAACCGATTAAATTAGACGCTTGATATTTGGCATGCAGGTTACCTTAAGTAAACGTCCAGCAGTGGACGTCATTTGGCTGAAACGAACGAAACTTAAAGCTTAGTTACAACAGGATATTGCAAAATTCCCACGGAAACGGGAGTTAGCGGGAAAAAACATTTGTATGGAAAAATCTAAACCGCGTAAGATAGATGAAGGGGGTACGTAAAACGGGATCCACGCGTACGAAGTCGCGGGCTGCCGCTAGTACCTAATAACATTACCTTACAGCCAATAGGGGCGAAGCGGTAAAGAAAAAGGTTACGAAAACGGGAAATATTATTCAAAGAAAGTATTTTTACGTTGAAGTAGCGGGAACAGCTAGTAGGAAAATAAATACAGAATGAATATTTTTTTATAATAATTTAGATCTTATTTACACCATAACTACAACTTCAAAGCCTTCTTGTTACATCTTTAATTTTCAAAAAGCAAAGCTATTAACTAAACACCTCGTGAGCTATCAGCGCTGTAGTCGGGAATCGAACACCTGCCCGCTTAACCTCTGTTTAAATATAGACAGACGAAAATACGCAGCCAATTAATACCTAACAACATAGAAATGCTGGTTGTCCGGGAATTATTGCGGTTTTGAAAGTGATGAGATAATTTAATTAGGTAGTTTGTAAGTAGGCACCATTTTTACTTAGAGACTGATGAAGTTAGTTAAAAATCAAATTAAAAAAATCCTTTTAAAGTCTTTTTCTTTGATATAAAAAAATTGTTAAAATTGTATCTGCAATGGTCAAATAAATAACTAAACTCATTCTTTGACATAATAAAATTTTAAAATTGTAGATAATTCAAATGTTTAACAATGTTTTTGGGGGTAGGTAGTAATCAAACACTTGATGGTAGATTTAGAAGTCTGACTAAGATTACCTATTGGAATTACTGGAAAAGTACCTACGAGCTAAAATTGTAATCAGGTAAAATACTATTTTTTTCTGAATTTAACACTTTAGAGACATATCGAAACTAAGGTCAAAATCCACTAAACTGGAGACTAAGGCTGAGTTGCACCACCTAACTTTGACCGTAACTATAACGTTAACCGGTGGATTTTGTATGGAGTTTGACAGATTTTTGACGTTTGTCAAAGTTAAAGTAATGGTGCAACTCTCAGCCTAAGTGCGTATCTTTAGACAAAATCATGAGCTTATAACATAGCTACAATTAAAAACATAGCCTCCTTGGGTGGTCGAGTAAAGATTTATTCAGGTCGGATATTTATCGGACATTATTCGCATTGTACACTTGGCACTGCGATTCCGAACATTGTTTTTAAAGTTTATCTTTTTAAATTTGTAAACAAGTTGTTTTGTCTTTTAAATAAACGTTTTTAAGATTTTAGATAACAGTAAGGCTGAGTTGCACCACTTAACTTTACTATAGGGATAACCGGTGTTTTTTGTACGGAGTTTGGCAGATTTTTGACGTTTGTTAAATTAAGATGGTGCAATCCAGCCTAAGGCTGAGTTGCACCACCTAACTTTGACCGTGACTATGACGATAACCGGTGTTTCTTGTATGGAGTTTAACATATTTTTGACGTATGTCAATGTTAAAGTAAGACGGTGCAACCCAACCTAAGAGTACCTATAGCTAATAGGTACGTAGATTTGTAAAAAGGTACATATCTGTATAATTATGCGGTCACTGAACAATTTGTGATCCTATAATGAAATCATTCACATGATGAACACCTAGAAGCGGGCATTGCAGGACCGGTCGCTAAGGAAATTCTTGGGGGAGGCCTTTTTCCAGCAATGGACGTCATTTGTCTGAAACGGACGAAAGAGCGTACGATATTAATATCGTTGAACGATACCTCAACGACTTCTTTTCTGAATCCCCATTAAACGTTTGCATCACGGTATAACACGATCGTATCAATTAATCATGCACTTCCACTCCCGCGCATGCCAAATTGCCAAGAAAGTGACGTCGCCATTTTGTGATTAACGTTATATGAAGAACATTTTCTCGATGTTGTTTTTCTCGATACATTTTTATCGATATAAAAGCAAATTGTTAACAGCACGAGTGATTTAACTTTGAATTTTATTTTTTAATGGTTCAAAGATTGTGGTAACTGTGGCGCTTTAATTTTTATTTGAATTTTGAAGCAGTATTGCCACTTAGTAGTATTGCCAGTAGCGTGGGCAGGCCTCCCACTAGGTGGACCGACGATCTGGTGAAGGTCGCGGGAAGTACCTGGATGCAAGCGGCGCAGGACCGGTCTTTGTGGAAATCCTTGGGGGAGGCCTTTGTCCAGCAGTGGACGTCTTTCGGCTGAAACGACGACGACGACGACGATTGCCACTTACCAAGAGCGTAATCGGGTAGTCAACAGTGTAATTTTTATAAATAATTAAAATAATAATAAGACAAAAGTAAAGTTTGAGTTTGCGATCAAGTAACATAAAAAAATAATTTATGTAAAAAAATTTTGAACTGGTTTCTACTATCTACGACAGTTATTATAATACTTAATTTTACACTAATCACTATCGGGGGCGTAGCTCAGATGGTAGAGCGCTCGCTTAGCATGCGAGAGGTACCGGGATCGATACCCGGCGCCTCCAATCTTTTTGTACTGTTTTGTAATTTTTCAAACATAAATACCGCAAATTATGGACGTTCCCTAAAAAATAATTGCGTTTAATAAGTATGCCAACAACATTTATTTCAATTACAGTTTGTATGCAGCCTATTTTTTTCCACCTGGGCCGTCGTGACCCGCGCTATCCAAATCCAATGGACTACGCAAGTATATTTATGAAATGAATCTAGCCTTGTGTCTATTTCATCAAATAATTAGGTAAATGGAAATTATTCTGTGTAATCTATGTACTTTAGATAAAATATTTTTTTTTTTTATTTTGAACCACCAATTTTATCCAACTATTTTCAAGATTTTACCGCTTGAAGAAGATCTGAAAAGAAAAACTGAAATGAAACAACAAAAATATTTACAGACTTTTACTCTTTTTTTAACTTTTCGTTAGTGTGACACNGTATGGTGATGTCAGAAAATTGATATCTTCATTTTAATTATTTTAATTTTCATACAAATCGGATTTTATAACACTTATTTTGTATGAAAATTTAAAAAAATAAAATGATGATATCAAATTTCTGACTTCACTATACCATTTATATGCCTATGTTAACATGGGCTAGTGTCGGCTCATATACCCATTTACCTAACACCCTGTATATAGATTAAAGTAATAAAAAGACAAAAGTAAAGTTTGAGTTTGCGATCAAGTAGGTAACATAAAAAAATAATTTATGTAAAAAAATTTTGAACTGGTTTAATCAATGACAGTCATTATAATGCTTAATTTTACAATAGTCAGTACCGGGGGCGTAGCTCAGATGGTAGAGCGCTCGCTTAGCATGCGAGAGGTACCGGGATCGATACCCGGCGCCTCCAATCTTTTTGTACAATTTTGGAATTTTTTAAACACAAATACCGCAAATTATGAACGTTTCCTAAAATAATTGCGTGCTTTTACAACATTTATTTCAATTACAGTTTGTATGCAGCATATTATTTTATTACACCCGGGCCGCGCCGTCGTTTCTTAAATGAATCTAGCCTTGTGTCTATTTCATCAAATAATAATAATAGGTAAAATGGAAATTATTGTGTAATCTCTACTGTAGGTACAATCATTTTTTTTTTATTTTGAATCATCACTTTTATCCAATTATTTTCAAGTATTTTACCGCTTGAAGAAGATCTGAAAAGAAAAACTGAAATGAAACAACAAAAAATTTTACAGACTTTTACTCTTTTTTTAACTTTTCGATAGTGTGACACAATAATGCACTTGATCTGTTTATCTTGACGTAAATTTAACCAACCAGGACAACTATTGGGACTAGGACCCCAACCAAAACGGCTGCTAAGGATGCAATCTTGTATTTGTGTTTCCTCGCATTGACGTTCATGTACGCTTCGAATCTTTGGAAGCCTTTGACGTCATAGTTCAATCGCTGGTACTCCTTCAACTGACTGACGAATCCAGGGTTCGGGTTTATGAAGCGTCTCCGTTGTCTGACGTAGAAGTATGCTTGCTCGAACGTCAGGCTGTATTTTTCCATGAGATACGCGATAACAATCGTGGCGGACCGGGAGACCCCGAAGTGACAATGCACGAGGACGTTCCCTTTCTGCAGCCCTTCATCGATGAAGGCGTTGGCCATTGGGAAGTAGGACATGAGATTGGTCGAAGGAGTGTCGTCGGCCCGAATGAAGAGCGTACTGATGTTTGTATTAGCGAAAGTTGACTTCGGAAGCCGATGCGCCTCAACGGTGAGCACATGGGTGATGTTAAGGTGTCGTAGGACGCTCTGGTCGGCTGCTGCCCTTGCATTGCTGAGGTAGAGACCTGGGACGATCTGGCTGTAGCAGGACTGAGTGCAGAGGTCGACTTTATGGTACAAAGCCTTCCTAGACCAGTTCTTGAGGCCTGTGAATGCGATTACTGGGTTCGGAATGCTCAGGAAGGCGACAATGAACGCGCTTTTCACCATCACCATAAATAAACCTCTGACACTTATCATTATAATACTTTGCGGGTGCCTCACATTTTTATTTGTATTTTCTTTGCACTTGCTTGTAAATTTTGATGTGACGTTTATGATGGCTCTTTGACAGTTGTTTTGTTCTTCGCTCGTCTTTGATGAAGGTTGGAATGAATGAGGTCGGTTACTCTTTTCTTTTAGTTTATTTTGAGAGATTGTTTACTATTTAATTCAAGAGTGAGTTTCGATTGTTTTCTGTGTTTATTAATCAAGTGTTTTTCGTAGCTTTAAAGTTTCAATAATGCTGAATTATCTTTGAATTAAAATATTGTTCGTTCATTTCAGCCAAAAGATATCCACTGCTGGTCTCCCCCAAGAATTTTCACTAGAATTACAAATGCAGTGCTATTTATACTCGTAACTTTTTTCTCCTAAAAATCATCCCTTTTCGCCATAATCTAAACTAAGCTGTTTCTAGGAGATTGATTATGGCAGCTAAATTCTTTGATTTGATAGACACTCAGGTATCATGATAATTCGTTTAAAATAGCACTATGATTCATTACACAAAAATAGTGTCGCAAACGAGATTCGAACCTGTACTGGCACTGTAGTAGCCTCCTCGAAAATATTTAATGATTGAATGCTTAACGAATTTCTGTCTTATTTTCTCTTTTCCGAATTGCAATGGAAAATGTCCAGACTTACGCCCGTATTCACAAACGATGCTTGTTTAATTGAAGCACAAAATCGAACGCACAGCACACTCTGTGATTGGTTCAGTGTCGCCCTGTGCGTCCTCGCGCACTGTGAGACCTCATAGTAATGTTTGTGAATAGTGTAACAGCCAACACCAACAGCCAAGCCGGCGGGTTGGTGAATGCGACCTACTTAGTATTTAGGTCGACGGCTGGAGGCGACATTGAATCTGCGTACGCGCATATATCTGGCTGTAGGGCTGGCAAGGTGATGAATACCTTGGGTGAGAGTAGAAAAATGTATAATAGTTATACATAGATCGTAGAAACAATACAGTTGCTATGTAAAGCTACTACTTAGCAAAACGTCTTATTCTTATCTTCATTAACCTTTCTTCGATGGTGCATCCTACAATATTTATTACCCATGTTATTGTTTATGGAAAATTTATTCCTTTTAGTTTGACTATGACTGTGACCTTACTTACAGTCACTGGATTCAATTCAAAAGTGCTAACTATTCAACTCAAAATATTTTGTGTAAAAAAATACTTTAAAAGCCGCCATTTACTTACACTTGATTTGGTTCACTGCAAAACTTTACATTAATTTACGAAGAAAACAGAATTACTTCACTGTATTAAACGCGATTTAATTGATTATAAACCACATTTTATGGAGTAGATATGCCAAGAGCCAAGAACGAAAGTGTAATACGTAAATATAGTCTAAAATGCGAGTAAAGTCCAGAGTAGGTACATATTTAACTAAATACCTACCCTCTAAACACCAACCGCTATTATTACAGTTATTTCAGCCCTGAAGTCGTGTAATAAGCATATGAATTTTATGTCACAATGTGAATTGCTATACTTAAATCATATGGAGTTATGTTCGTCATAAAATAGTCACATCGCACAGACAGACAATTATGATACTGAGAGATGTATGGTATGTGTATCAATATGACAGTGAGTTATGGTGTTAAACAAAATATACTACAGAACCTCCACTGCTGGACATAAATTAGGTCTCCCCCAATGACTTCCACTTTGGCCGATCTACTTACTTCATCATCGACATCATTTCAGTCATAGGACGTCCACTGCTGAACATAGGCCTCCCCCAATGATTTCCACAATGGCCGGTTGGTGGCGGCCTGCATCCATCGCCTTCCCGGCACCTTTATGAGGTCGTCGGTCCACCTTGTGGGTGGACGTCCTACGCTGCGCTTTCTGGGACGTGGCCTCCACTCCAGAACCTTGCTGCCCCATCGGCCGTCAGTTCTGCGTACTATTGCACTGCCCATTGCCACTTCAGCTTGCTAATCCGGTATTTACTTAGTTATAACATGTAAAACGATTTCTGTAACTTATTGCAACTTTTTATGTTATTATTACCACATTTATTACGAATTCCTAACACACTGAAACTATTATTCATCATTTGACATAATTATCTGCCTAGCATTCTCCTAGATGTCTAATAACGGCCATCAAATATAAAGAACTTTTTGAACATTTCATTCATCTAGGTAACTACGTACTTAATCTAGAACCACATGTCATCAGTACACGTTAAATGCTTTCTAAAGTTATAAAGCTTTGCGTTTGTTGCCAAGACACTCCATCAGGCTCAGTACACAATGCTAACCGCACAATAAAATTATCCGTCCACCGGGCAAATTATCATTTGTAACAGGTTTAACTTGGCCAAAGTATCAATCATAATATTTTCGTGTCGCCTTAACGTTATGAGTAGTTAGCAAGTGTCGTCGTCGTCGTCGTTTCAGCCAAATGACGTCCACTGCTGGACAAGTCTCCCCCAAGGTTTTACACAATGAACGGTCCTGCGCTGCCCGCCTCCAGGCTCTTCTCGCGACCTTTACCAGATCGTCGGTCCACCTAGTAGGAGACCTACCCACGCTACGTCTTCCAGCACGTGGTCGCCACTCGAGAACTTTCCTGCCCCAACGGCCATCGTCTCTACGAGCTTTGTGCCCCGCCCACTGCCACTTGATTTTAGCAATTCTGCGAGCTATGTCGGTTACTTTGGTTCACCTGCGGGGGTTCCGCAGGTGAACCTGATGATGAAATATATGATCATTTTTGATTCGATCACGCCCATAGCCATAGAATCTGGACTAACAGGACTATTATCACCTCTCTTTCCCACCGCTGCAACTACTGTATAGCCAGGATCTACAGCTTGACCGCCAATAAAAACCCAACCAGCGAAGGTCAAGTGTGTCCCGGGGGAAAGTTAAACTGTCATTGGACCCGCAACGATAATTTCGTTGAAGAAGAACATAGAAGGAGTTCGAAGTTAAGGTTCCTCCAGTGCAAAACGGTGCTGACAGGAGACAAACCTAAGAAAGATCTAAAGCCTAGGAAGTCCAATTAGTTTTTTAATTAACAGTAAAATATATTTTCAGTGGCAAGAAACATACTAATATTCAAATTAATTTGACGATATGTCGCAGTCAGATTGTATAATCCGTCGTTTTACATTACAGCTAGGCATTTCGCATTACAGCTCTGTTTTGTAATACGGCGGCTTAACGTTTAGCCGGATTGAATACGGCTGAATGAAAATCCGCCGGAATGTATTCGGTGCCAAACGTTCTTCAATACGGCTAGCCGTAATGTAAAACAGCGTGTCATTATCCGCCGCTTTGACAGTTTTTAGTTCCTATTTTAAATACCGTGGCGCTGCCGGACAAAGTGGCTATGTATTCTGGTGTTCGGCGGAATCCTACACAATATTAATAATGTAAAAATATGAAATCATGGCCTTGGCTGGTGAAGATAATTTTATCTTAAAGAAAAATAACCCAGAAAAAATGACTAAGACTTTATTGTTTTGAGTTACCTGTCCCCTGTGATCATTTTTAATATCTAAAAAAGACTAAAGCCAATTATCTAATTAATTCTTAAAATGTTTAGAAAAGTTTAATTGTTATGAGTTACTTTTTTTAGATGGCTATCCCTTGTGATTTATAAATAAGTAAAAAAAAATACTGAAGCCACAAATACTTGGGTATACAGTAACGAAGATAATAATTCTTAAAATCTGTCTTATTTAAATTTATTTTCATTATACATTGTTTTATTTTGTAAGTATGGTCACCCTACAATCTAAGTAGTAGTACGATGCGGCTATACGTGGGCCGCCGTATTGAAGAACGTATCGCAATGACAATCCGCCTAAACGTTGAACCGCCGTATTACAAAACAGAGCTGTAATGTAAAATGCCTAGTGGTAATGTAAAACGGCGGATTATACAATCCGACTGCGACAGATACATTACGTGAAGTCAAAGCTGCTCTATCTTACAAAATGTGCAGTAAAGTCACGTTTTGTCAGCATAAAAAATACGTCAATTGATTGATCCCAAAAATGAGAGTTCTCAATCAACAAACCACTTTTAGGTAGATTAAAGATAAATTTAAGCTACAGATAAAAGTAGAGCTGGTATCCCTTGGCTGAGTACACTGTATAATACTACCCACACTGAGAAATGCAGTAATTTACTATGTCTGATTCAAGGGTAGCTGTACAATTTATCGAATCTTTATAGTGATAGTTGGCAATCTTATCTTTCGTATCGTAGGGCAGTGAACCAAGAGTATGTTGGTTTTGAAAACTGTTGAAAGTAATACCACAGTAATACCTACCAATAAATTGAAATATACTTTAATTACTTACCTATGTATTCCTAGGGAAGTAATTAACTTTAAAAAAATTAAGAATCGGACAAAGCCCATTTGTAGGAAATAAAACAAGACATTTTTGAAAGGAAAACTTTTATTTATTAAAATCAAAGTGCAAAATGATCTTGGCTGAGTGAGATGGCTGCTACTTCTTTTCAATAGATTTCCTGTCATGGCAGCCTATATCCATTGTCAATGTGGTCTAGGGTTTCTTGAGCAACATCTAAAGGTGATAATTATGTCAATCTAATAGAGTTATCTAGAGCTTTCCATAGATTCCAAATAAACAATACTTGATTGCCTAGCTGCATGGATCTCAATTTTCTGAGGAACCTCTCACTCTATATCATGGGAGAGGAATTAGTGTACTTTTCATGATGCTTTGTATGAGATTCTATAAGATTCGTTATTAGGTATTCCTTTACTGATTTACCTAAAAGTTTCGTCTCTAAATTTTTCAAAACAGAAAACTTGGCAAGCGATTATAAACCGTACTTATTCTCATATATCCGCTTCGGCCGTCTTAATCGCTGGTCAAACTCAAGTTTAACCGGTCGGCCATCACTGCAAACTAGACCGCAGTTTAAAATAGTCCGAAACGGGCCCATGTCTGCTGCGACTGCAGTTTGTGAACACCGCTCCTCCGCTTGGCCGCGTCTTTACTTAACTTCCAGATTTATATTTTAATTTTATACCGAGTATAAGTGT